ACAGGGGCAGCCATACATTGTTATACATCTTGATCCTCAATTGAGTATGAAGGTGTAAAAAAGATTGGGTGAGGAGAAATATCCTATCTCTTTTGTAGGGCTTATTAGAAAAGATGTTTTTGCAAATGCTAAGATAATTCAGGATTGGTTGGTTGGTTTTATAAAGAAATATATAGAAGGATTATGAGGACAGACTGTAAAATTCTAAAAAAAAAAAAACAACCCAACAAAAAACTAGTCCAGTCCAGTGGTTCTTAACTCTGTTTTTCCAATAACTCAGGGTATGTCCAAATTATTTAGGAAATGACATACTCAGTATGCTATAAAAAATACTAGTTTTGGAACAAGGAGAGACTTGGATAGGAATCCTACCTCTGACACTTATTAGCTGTAAGACATTGGGCTGTATGGAATGACCCTTCGCTTCCCTGGGCCTTAAATTCTTCATCTGTAAAATAAAATGAGGGCGTTGGTGGGTCCTAAGGTCCCTTTAACCTTTAAATTTATGATCCTATAAACCTCTCTGCACATCAGCTTTCTCATCTGTAAAATGAGGAAAATAACTACAGTCACTTCTTCATCTGAGGAAGACCTATGAAAAGTCTTTTTAAGTCTGTAAGTGCTACATAACTGTCAGTGAACCCTTGAGAGCAAGAATCCTCTTTATATTTGTCTTTGTATCCCTAAAACATAAATAGAGAAAGAAAATGGGGAACTTTAAATAAAAGCAAATGATTACACAGCATCAACTCAAATTGGGAATCACGGCTCTGGACCATACTGCTTCCAAAAATGTGGGCCTAAGGGAATTAGTTATGTTGGCACATGGTCTAGTCAGTCAATTAATAACTAAGTATTTAAGTTATTAAGAACCTATTATGTACCCAACACTTGCTAGATAATGGCAAATCAAAACCAAAATCAAAAAAGTCCTTGTCTTCCAGGAACTTATATTCTAACATTTATTAACATTCATAATAATTCCTCAACTTTTATTTTTGCATACTTTTACTTAGACTTTTTAATGACACTAATGAAAAGCAACAAGATTCTCATTAATTCTGGTCAAATTTTTGTTGTTATTGTTGTGGCAAATGCACTAGCCATATGTAGCTCCTTAAGCCTATTGTTATATTTATATTAGAACTGCCAAATACATGAAATTGTTTTTCCCCCTATATTAAAGTACTTGTGTCTTATTAAATGGTTGTGTCCTCTGCTATGACACAGAAAACTTTTGTAGATGAGACTCTCAAAAAAGAAACTCAATTCAACTTCACACGATGTAGTAGCCCATTTTTGACTCATTTCTGGAATTAAGCCCTTTTTTGAACTATTTCCTAAGCTCATAACATTAATTATCTCTAGGTTACCTAAGGAATGTGTCTGGGTTAAACTCAAGAAGATGCCTAGACAGTGATTCATTCTTGAAGAATAACTACATGAGCCTATTTTGAACCCTTCTTATTTGAACCTCCCCAAATGCACTTCTACCTAATTCGGACATCTCGTGCTAATGAAAATAAATAATAAATACAGAAAGATTAACAGCTTGACAGATGTTCTTATTTTCTACCTGGATCTTGTTATATTTTTTATCTGAACAGCAAAAAAAAATCACTAAGACAATTATATTTTAACCGTAATCATATATTTTTATTAAGCACACAAGGACTATTGGTACATGGATCTTAAAAGCTAACAAGCAGAATGCTTCTCTACAAAGGCTGCTTGCCTTATTACTTAGGTTTAAATAAAACTAAACTTAAATATAATTTATATAATTCTTTCAAATTATGATACTAAATTAATGAAACTAGAATTATGTCCTTTACCCACTATGAGAGCCAAAAGACAAAAGTTCTACTCTTGTATGAATGTGGAATTAAAGAGTAATTGTTTCCTAGTTAAAAAAATGTGTATGTGTGTGTGTTTGTGTGTGTGCGCGCGTAAGAAAATGTGTTAGAGGACTTCAAGATAAGATAGTATGAAAGGTTGCAGAGGAGCCCAGCTCTCCCACATATATTCCAGCAATGACCTAAAAAAAGGCAGCAGACTAAATAATGATATAAAAATTCAAAAAGAAATATCACTAACCTCCTTCATCCGGCCTAAGTCTGTACAAAAAGACAGTGAGATCTATGACAAGGAAAAACAGCACGAACTCAGATGAAAAGGCCTGAAACTTTAGACACAGAAGGTCTGATGTGATTGGAACAAAAAGTCAAGAATTTAAAAAGGAATAATGAGAAAAAAAGTGGGAAGGAAGAAGCCTTGCAGTAGCAGCTCTCACACTACATTAAGAAGCAAAAATCATCAAAACAATTTGGTAATGGCTAAAAACAACAGCAATAACAACAACTGATCAGTGAGTAAGAGGAGGAACACAAGACAAAAACAATCATAGCAGTTTAATGTTTAATAAACCCAAAGACTTCAATTACTAGAATAAGGACGCATTCACTAGCTGACAATAATTGCTGGGAAAATTGGAAAGCAGTCTGCCAGAAATCAAGTTAATAACAACATATTACACCATATAATACATTACATTGCAATTATATATAGGACCTAGAAAGTCACATCATAAGCAAATTAGAGGCAAATGGACGGAAATTCCCTTCACAACCATGGAAAAGGGGAAGAGTTTTTGACTACATGAAGGACAGGGAGGAACACAGGTAATAAAATGGACAGTTTTGATTACACAGAATTTAAAAGTTTTTGTACAAAATTAATGCAGCAAAAATTAGGAGGGAAAGGGTTAACTGGGGGGAAAATCTTTGCAAATGTTAGTTTTGATTACACAGAATTAAAAAGTTTTTGTACAAAATTAATGCAGCAAAAATTAGGAGGGAAAGGGTTAACTGGGGGGAAAATCTTTGCAAATGTTTCTCTGACAAAGGTGTAATAATTAAAACAACTGTGAATTGGTCTAACAATTACAAAAAGCAGTTTAAAATTACTCAAGCCACTAAAATTGGGACTGTAATACTAGACATAATGGATCCGTATGGTATAAAACTATTCATTATCAATGCTTCATTGTAGCAAAAAATGGAAACTAAGTTTCTGTAAACTGTGAAATGGTTGAACAAACTATGCTATTTGTAATGGAACATTGTATTGTCTGAAGAAATGATGAAAGGAATGGATTCAGAGAAACCTGAGAAAGTCATTATGAACTGATGCAGAGTGCAATGAGCAGGGCTAAGAGAACAATTTATACAATGACTACTATACCACTGTAAGCAAAAGCTTTTGAAACATTTAGTAACTCTTTCAACTGAATATCCATCAATGACTCCAGAAGGCAGATTTCCTATCTCTTCACAGAAGTGACTGACTAGAAGTATATATTCAGGATTGGCTGATGTGTGGGTTTCTTTTACTTGATTATGCTAACTTGTTGTAAAGGAGGATTTTTTTTTTTTTGCAGGTTGGGTGGTGGGGTTGGGGAGAGAAATTGGGATAATAGCGATGCCAAAAAAAGAAAGAGTGCCAGAGAAGCATTTCAAGAAAATGCAAAGACAAAGTTCAGAGAGGAACATAGACAAGCAAGACAGCTGGAATATGGTAAATTAAAGAAAAACAAGCTGTTCATAATGAGATTCAAAGTTTCATATGCAATTCTATTTCTTTCTTTTTTTTTGTACATGAGGTTTCTAGCAGGTGGCATGGTGTTTCAAGTTCAGAACAATAAATTTTTAAAAAAAATCAACCACTAGAAAACTTCCCAGAGCTACCTTTAAATCTGTTTATTCACCATTATAGAGAATCTTATCAAGAGTTTATTCACCATTATAGAGAATCTTAACCTACAACAGTGTATCTAGCAATGTAGAATCTGGGTAGTAAAAACAGGACTCAGTACCTAGTTATTAAGCTGGAAATATTAAGCTTCTAACCAAGGTACTGTACTGGCTAGAATCAGGACAACCTTCCAGGTTACATGCATTGAAGCCTTCTTTTGTAAATATGTTAGTTTCTAAAAACAAACAATCAAACTGTGATTTCATTGGCTGAATAGGTTAGTCCTTGTAAGGAAATTCTCTACCAATACAGAACACTATCTGCTACGTAATTTATAGTATCTGACAGTTCCTTTGGGGACACTAAGGATCACACATCCAGGAGGGGTCAGAGGTGGGGTAATAAATAGCAAGATCCTTTGGTGTTTGGTATAATTGGCAAATATTAAATATAAGAAGCTTATTAGATCTTTCCACCACTCAAATAGTTCTTATGCCCTTATCATTTCAAGATTTATTTTTACTTAACTTTTGGATCAGGTATCCCCTAATTACACTTTTACTTAAGTGGGTTTTGGGGGGAGGCGGAGAACAAGGCAAGCAAGGTTTCAGGATGAGTTCCCATAAAGGAACTTTATATAAGGTTATTTCAATGAAGGAAACCTTGGGGGTCCACTGTTGTGTATGTTGTGGGACGAAACTAAAAAAAACCAAAACAACCAATTAGTTGTTTCAGCAAGCGCTGGAGCTTGAAAAACTTCCTAGACCATTGCCCAGGTAATAACGTGAAAAGAAAGCAGAGAAAACATGGGGATTTCCGGAACTCAAAGCCCCAAAGTTTCGAGAGAAACCAGGCTACAGTCGGGGCTCCTCACACCTGCCCGCTGACGCTCCCAGCAGCTATTTTTAAAACCCTTGGCGGGGCGGGGGCATTAGTTGGCAGCGCCAGCCCCACGTTCCTGAGGCCTTCTTGGATGCCCTGAGCTGGGTCCCAGGGAGCTCATCCTCGTCCTTCTCTCCCTCCCCCGGTCTCTTGGGCCCGTCTTTTTCCCTTTCCAGAAACCCTTCGTCCGGCGGGGTTCTGGTGCGGGCGCCTCGCTGCCTCCCCGCCGGCCGCTTCCTCCGCGGATCTCCCCGTCTGCGCACCGGAGCCTGCCCCATGGCCCGTCACCCCCTCACCCCAGGGCCACCCCGGCCCACCGCCCGCAGCCCAGGCGCACCAACCCAGCCCCGACCTCCGGCTCTTACCATAGTGAGACCTCCGCTACCCCCAGCCACATCACCCTTCCGGGGCAACGGGCGGAAGAGGCGTTTGGCCCCGCCCCCTCCTTCTCTCCTTGCTGCTCACGCTTCCCGATGATTGGTCCGAGGAAAGAACGGGTTTCACGCGCCGCGAGGCTGCGGCGGCGCGGTTGGCCTAGAATTTAGGGAAGGGGCTACTCATCTGTCCCTGGGTAGTGACGCAAAGGGAGGAAGGTCCTTTTGATTGGCCGCGGCTCTTTGTGCCTCGGGAGCGGGCCTTTTGGAGGAAACCGGAAGTGGAGACTCTGAACGAGGTAGGGCCCGGAAGCGGGGGTGTCCCCAGCGGCTTAATTCGCTTGCCGTCCCCTGTCCATCGAGGCTAGTCCTCGCTATCCTCGTCCTCTTCGGACCCCCGGGGGCCGCCCCAACTTACTAAGTCCCTCCAGCTCCTCCTAGAGCTGGCTTCCCATTCTTCGCCGCCCCTCCCCTCTGCTTCGGAAAGCTCGAGCAAGCCCACCTCTCCTCCCCCTTCCCCGAGGGAGCCGGGGGGTATCCTCATTCTTCTCAGGACAGCGGAATACTGAAGGGTATGGGGGTGGTGGCGGAATTAATGAATTTAAGGAAAACTTGAATTTACTGGATTGGAATCCCAAAGCCATTCTCCCGGTCAGGTGTTCGCAAATTGTAAGGCACAGTGATTAAGCATTTTTTAAAGCGTTTTCTGTATGCAGGTCACTGTTGCTAAGAGCCGAGATACACCGACCCCCCCCCCAAAAAAAAGTTCCTTGGTTCTTGCCCTTAAATAGCTCAAATGAGAATGAGGAAACAATGTGTACACAACTAGCTACATTTAATATGCATGCAGAGTAGATGGCACGAAATCTCAGAGGTTAAGGGCCCAGGGCCACAGGGAGAGGAGGAGGTTTGGGAGATCCTCGAGAGGCCTCCTAGAGGGCTGAGCTTCAGGGGGACCTAGGAGTCACGAATGAGAAGGGAGAGTATTCCAGGCCTGGGGACTGCGAGAATGGACATTGAGATGGAAGATAGGATGTCCTGTGTGAAGAACCCCGAGAAGGCCAGCTTGGCTAGGGCATTCAGTTTGTGGATGATAGCAAAGTGATGAAGTAGGAAAGTTAGGAAAGAACCGTGTTATGAATTGCTTCAAATGCCAAACAGAAGACTTTATTTGATCCTGGAGATAATAGGAAGTGGAGAGAAGGGAATGACAGTGAGAAATGATCTAGAAGAAGAAATGACAGGCTTTGGTAATAGGATGAGGATGTGATTGAGAGTGATAAGTTCAGAATGGTATTGAGATTGCAAATTTCAGTGTCTAAGAAGATGGTAGTGTCCTCAACAGTTATAAAAAATATCAGGAGATGTGGATTTTAGGGGGAAAGATGCCTTTGTTTTAGACATGTTGAGTTTGAGATACCTTTAGCACACCCAGTTCAAAAAGGTAGTTGGTGATGTGGAAATGGAGCTATGGAGGGCTGGATATATAAATCTGGGAGTTATTTGCAAAGCTAATAATTGAACCTGTGGGTGCTGATGAAGATCACCAAGTGAGATTGTATAGAAGGAAAAGAGAAGGGAGCTCAGAACAGAATACCCACATTCAGTGGAAGTGGCGGGGATGGCAGTCTAGCAAAGGAGACTGAAAAGTGGTCAGGAAGGAGAAGAAACTGGAGAGCAGAGTTATCAAAACTTAGGAGAGTATCAAAGAAGAAAAGGTGACCAACAATGGCAAATGTTGTAGAGAGGTCAAGAAGGAAGAAAACAGAAAAGGTGATTAGATTTGGCAGTTAAGAAATCATTAGTAAACGGAGAGAGTTTTCTTTGGATGTATTTGGAAGCTAGATTGCGGAGGGTTTAGAGGAGTGAGAATTACTTATTCAGTGCCATATTAATCAAACTGCCAAAAAATTTCTTCATAGAGCTAGAAAAAATAATAGAATTCTTCTGGAAGAACAAAAGGTCAAGAATATCAAGGGAATTAGTGAAAAAAAAATGCAAAGGAATGTGGCCTAGCAGTACCAGATCTCAAACCATATTATAAAGTGGTGATTATCAAAATATTCCAGTACGGGTTAAGAAATAGAGTGGTGGATCAGTGGAATAGATTAGGTACACAATATATAGTAGTAAATGACTGTAGTAATTTAGTGTTTGATAAACCCAAAGATCTAAGCTTTTGGGACAAGAACTCACTGTTGACAAAAACTGCTGGGAAAATTGGGAATCAGTAAGGCAGAAACTAGGTATAGACCAACATCTTACAACATATACTAAGATAAGGTCAAAATGAGTACATGATTTAGACATAAAGGGTAGTACCATAAACTAGGAGATCAAAGAATAGTTTACCTGTCAGATCTAAGAAGAAAGGAAGAATTTATGTCCAAACGAGATAGAGAGCATTATGAGATGTAAAATGGGTAATTTTGATTATCCATTAAAGTATTGATATTAAACATAAAATAACAAAATATTAAAAAGTATTTTTCTTTTTTGCACAAGTAAAACCAGTGTAACCAAGATTAGAAGGAAAGCAGAATGTTGGGAATTTTTTTTTTTTGCAGCAAGTATCTCTGATAAAGGCTTGATTTCTCAAATATATAGAAAACTAAGTCAAAACATAAGTCATTCTCCAATTGATAATATGACCAAAGGATATGAACAAGCATTTTTCAGATGAAGAAATCAAAGCTGTCTGTAGTTATGAAAAAAATGCTCTAAATCACTATAGATTAGAGAAATGTACATTAAGACAACTCTGAAGTATCACCTTACACATATCAGACTGGCTAACATGATAGAAAAGTTAATAAATATTGAAGGGGATATGAGAAAACTAGGACACTAATGCATTGTTAGAGTTGTGAACTGACCCACCCATTCTGGAGAGCAGTTTGGAACTATACCCAAAGGGCAATCAGACTGTATATTCTCTTTGATATAGCAATATCACTACTGAAATTGAAGGGATGCCCATTAATTGGGGCATAGCTGAACAAGTTGTGGTATATGAATGCAATAGAATATTATTGTGCTATAAGAAATGACGAGCAGGATGATTTCAGGAAAAAAACTTGGGAAGACTTAGATGAACTGATGCTGAGTGAAGTGAGCAGAACCAGGAGAACATTGTACACAGTAGCAGCTATATTGTATGATGATCAGCTATGAATTATAGCTATTCTCAGCAATTTAATGATCCAAGACAATCTCAAAGGACGCATGATGAAAAGTGCTACCCACCTCCAGAGAAAGAACTGATGGAATCTGAATGGAGATTGGAACATTCTATTTTTCCCTTTTTTTTTTCATGTTTTTTTTCCTGTTTTCTTTCACAACATGACTAATATAGAAATATGTTTTGCAAGATTGCACATATATAATCTGTATCAAATTGTTTACCATCTCAGGGAGGGGAGTGAGGAAGGAAGACAATTTGGAACTCACAGTTTTAAAAAAATGAATGTTAAAAATTGTTTTTACATGTAATTGGGGAAAAATATTAAAAAAAAATTGAGAGGAAGTGGAGCCACCCAATGTAGATGACTTTCTCCAAGAGTTTAGCCATAGAAGGGTGGAGAGATATAGAATAATAGGTATCCAGGATGGTCATTTCATTTGAGGGTTTTCTTTTGTTAAAGGATGGAAACACATAGATGCATCTGTAAGTAAGTGTGAGAGATTAAGAATCAGGACCATAGAGGGGGCAGTTGTTGGAGAACATAAGAGGATGGGATCAAGGGTGTACTTTGTGGAAGAATTGGCTTTGTCAAGGAGAAGGGCCACCTTATCATCCAAGACAAGTAAAGGAGGAAATAGGGAGATTGCCTGACTGATATGAGATGAGAAAGGGTGAGGAGGGGCCTACATCTTTGTGGATTGCATCATTCTTTTCAGGGAGGTGTGAAGCAAGGCATTCAGCTGGGAGGGTGAGGGGGTTACTGTGGGAAGCTTGAGGAAAGACAAGTTTTGGAAAAAGCTCCTATGGAGAGTGGATTAGCTGATTGATTAACAACAAGCAGAAATACTTTGGTGAGAGCCCAGGTGAAAGTAGATAACAAGTTTGTAATGGACCTAAGTTGCATGTTTTATGTGTTTTCCTTCTTCTCTGTTCAATAGCATGTGAATAGGTCTGAAGAAGTGGATAGTGGGAGTAGTCCAGTATTGAGGCTTGGCAATAGGACAAGGGGACAAAAGAGTTGAGAATAGAGGCTAGTGTAGAGCTGAATTGGTTTACCAAGAGGCTGAGGTAGGGAAAGAAGGCAAATGTAGCTGGTGTTTGGATGATGGCCTGGGAAAGAACTGAAAGGAAAAGAAATAAAGGTCATGATGATGACAAAGAACCAGGTTAGGGTTTGTAAAGCACAAAGAGAGGCTTAACTATAAAATAAATTTGGGTCAGATAAAGAAATTTCTGAGTTCATAAACATGGATGTGGAACTCTTGTGGGTGATAGCAAGATCAAAGTTAAGATATCTATATGTGGTTAAGATGAATAGTGGAAACATAGTCTGTGGGAATTGAATAGGTTAAAGAATGGGGAAGTTAGGTTATTTGATGGAACATCAGTATGCATGTTGAAATCCCCTTTATGGGTGCAGGAGTTGGGGTGGAGAGAAAGATTATGAGCCAGGAACTGAATTAGTTGAGGAAGGAAGGAAAATGTCCTGATAGACTTAATAGATAATAGCTGCCAGGATTTGGATTGGGAAATAAATTAGAATACTGTGAACATCAAAGGAAAAGAGGTTACTGAATGGTAGTGGTAGAGTGAGAGTCTGAAAGTGGCAAGGCACAACAAGTATTCTGTCTTCCCCATAACACTTACTGACTTGGAGGTATTAGGGGTCATATAGTCAGTCCTGAAAACAGTGGCAAGGGAAGCAGTATCATCGGGAGGGGGCAGGTCTCAGTGAATCCCAGAAGATGAAATACGAGGGAAAAAAACATTTAAGATGAAAGGAGTATGTATGTTGTAGAGTCAGAGTTGCAGAGGGCACAGCAGAAGGGGCAGGCAGATCTGGAATGGCCCATAAAAGAGTAGGTTTGAGGTTAATGGGAATAAGGG